AACAAAGGTGTTTTCTGTTCCTCTGTCCTCTTGTGGAGGATGATTTCTGTAATATTTAATCAACAGGCTAATCAGTACTTGGCCCTGATCTCATTCAGGTCCCATGACATTCAAAAGGAAGGCGATCATTACTGCCATAATCAGTGTGTAATCAGAGTGTGTCCTTGAGAACATGACCTTTTATCACATAAATGTCTCCTTCTGTTTACAACTGCTTTCAGAAAGTAAGCTAAATTCAAACATGCGAAAAGGACGCCGTGTAAGAGCAGAGACAGCAAGCACATAATGATCAAATGAGGAAAAAAATATCACAGTTATGTAATAATGAGAGTTTGAGACAAAACTGAGATTCTTATTGCATAGACATTTTTTTTTTTTGCATATGCTGTTCTGTAATGGCTTATTTCAATGGAATGTCGCATAGATGTTCTTTTTAAAATGAACTTTAAATTGTCATCAATTACCCTCATGTCGTTCCAAAGCAATTCCCTTTTTGAGAAGGAAGAAAGAAAGTCATAATAGACATGAGGGTGAGTAAATGATGACAGGATGTTCATTACTGGGTGAACCATTCCTGTATTTTATTATGCACTATGACATTGAAAATCATGGCAATGAGAAGCGTTTCTGCAGCTTTAATCGAATCAGTCTTTTAGTGGTCTAAACACTCTGTTCTTCAGGATGCTCTGCTGTTACCATAGAGACTGAAGCTTTGAGAGTCTCTCCGGTGAAGAGGCCCGATCCTTTCAGGTATTAATGACAACATGAACGACATTATTTGGAATTGTACATAAAAACAAACAGTCATTTTTGTAATACTGAACCAAATAAGGAAAACCACAGTGCAGTTTTACAAAGAATAATCATAAAAACGACGTGAAAATATGCTATAACAACTGCATGTTTCACGATAAGATGACGGAAGTAGGCTTTTTAAATCGTTTAAAAACCTTACCTGAAAAACGAAACACGCACCGTTTTCTGTGGAAGACTATTAACGTCTCGATTTTATAAACAGCTTCACATATAATGTTTATTGAGGATAAAGGTGTGCTGTGTTCACGCTTTATTAGGCTCTCAAGAAGACGTTACACTAAAACACCCATCTCATGCTATGATATAATGATGTTTTCTTTTTTATTCACAGTCTTATAGGGAATATAAAAACAGTATTCTAGTTAATTACACATATGGAACAGTAACGTTAATTGCGTTAGCTCGCCACCTACCGCTAGGTCCGTTGTTGTTTGATGTATTGAGAAATAAAAGTGGAAAAAATTACTTAATTCGGGGAAAGTGGTCTGTATTATGAATTAAGAATATATAGTTGATATCTTACCTTATAGATTGACCAAATAATGGGTATATTCTTGAAAATATTAAGAAGAAATCTCAGAGTCGATTTTTTTTTCTCGAGAGAGAGACTATCATCTGATGCTGTAAAAGTTCACTAAATTCTTTCAAACATCCTCACACGACTCTTCTTCGTCTTGTTTCAGCATCGTGACTGTTTATTCCATCAGGTACTAGCACATTAACAACTTTTTCCACTTTTCCAGCTGTTTCACCACCAGATTTGAGGGTTTATCTTTTTCAGAGCGTCTCCTCACTGGAACCTCCCATTTCATGAAACGATTGGTTCATGAAGAGACCAGACGTCATTGTTTCGAATTTGATTGGGTAGCTTACCTGTCAATCAACAGTTGGTCTCTTTTCCACGTGTGCATTTTTTTTCTCTCTCCGAAAGAATCAGTGGAAGATTGTCCGCTACAGTCAAAATAAATTTCAGTCCAGTGGAATAAACTTATAAAATATATTTTGAAAACGTACTTCTATTTTAAAACCTTGGTAAATCAATACATATGTAACGGGTATATTATTTTGAAAAGAGATTATCTTTGGGATACTTTTATTTTGGCGAGTGGTCCGCTTTTTGCGCGTGCTGCAAGTGCAGCAGGGAGAGACGAAAAAGAGCGCGGTGTATGAGTGTGTCACACACACAAGTGAGTGCAGTGTTGTGATCGAGAAGGTCGTTCGATAAAGTTGCTTCAACGGAAGATTATCGAGGCTTAAGTCGAATAAAGGACGACAGCACTAAGTGAAAGTGTGGACAGTGAACCGCAGTTGATAGCAGAAAGGAGGTTTTTTTTTTCAGTTTGGTTCTAGTGGTATGTGTTGGCTGTTAAAATGACGCAGTAACATATCGAAGGCCACGGAAGCTGTGAGTACGCTTAAAGTGAAAACCCTGCTTGATTTTTGTCATCAAGTGACTTGTTGCATGTACTTTTGCTGCATTTTGCACCTCTGGTGTTTTGATTGATAAGTGCTGGGTGACTTGGCCTTCGACATTCTTTTGGTCTATCTGGATGATGTCATTATCTTCTCCAGAGGTTTTGAAGGCCACTGTGAGAGGTTAGAACTTGTCTTTAACCGGCTAAGACAACATGGTCTGAAGTTAAAGCCAAGCAAGTGCTTCCTTCTAAGGCCAGAAGTAAAGTTCTTAGGGCACCAGATCTCCGCAGAAGGCATAAAACTGGATGACGAGAAAGTTAAAGCTTTGGACACATGGCCAGTTCCCAGAAATGTGAGAGAAGTCAGGCAAGTGCTTGGTTTTACATTTCCCCTACACAACGGGCTAAATACCCCCGTTACACATAGATAGATAGATCACAATTAATTTACATGTTCTCTTTAAAGTTTTAGGTACTTTGCAAGAGAAGATAATACGCTTGCCAAAGCGTTTTTCTAATGCTTTGGTCCAGTTGTTGTAGAATATTTTGATGACATACTGTTCTATTATAACAGTTTTTACAGAGTTTTGTTAGGTTTTTACAGTTATTGAATGTTTTATAAATGTAGGGCGTGACATGAGGGCAGGGTTTGGGTATACGTGCTCAAAGGCACGGCCACGAGAGGACCTGGCAACGGAGAGAAGAATGTCATCTCAAATATTATTTATTTTACACTTTATAACGTGGCACTCATATTACGTAGTTACATAGAAACTGAATTCATTTAAACTAAACAACATACTGGCACCAAATCTATGAACTCAATGAATTCTGTAAAAACAAAGTAGGGAACAACAGCCTACTTTAAAAATAACAGGACTATATAAAAACTTTACAACAACATAGGCTAGGTATTTCTTAATCTGTTAATATTTAATTAAAAGTATGACTTTAGTACAAACAACATACATCTTTGAAACTTACATTTCTGATCATTAGAAAATCACAATATGTTGGACAGAGTCTAAAAATTCTCTGCCTTTGAATTTGGCATGTGTATGTTAATGGGTAATTCAGATGTGCATTGTGCAATACATGAGATATGGACAAAGAGAAAACAAAAAGGCTCTGTGGTCAGACACTGTTTTCAGCCTATCCAAACTTCCTGTCCTCATCACACCACAGAGGAAAATAAGCAAGAAAGATGGAAAAGGAGGGTCACGAACAAATAAAGACAAAGCTCTTGAGATTCATATAAAGGATGCACATTCAAAACGGTCTTTTCCTAGGCAGCGTGTGCAAGCAAAAGACCATATAATCATGCAGGACTGCTACACACATAATCGCCTCCATCTCGAGATGATGGTCTTTTTTTTTTTCTTTTTTTTTTTTTCCCCACATATAAACACACTGAATCAGTGTCCAGGGTCACAGGCTACAAGCAGACATGGAAATATCGTGCAGTGATGAAAAATGGACATTGTCAGGGAAACTGGACATGAGCAGAAGACCAGAGGGGCTCAGGCATGGTCACATGAACTCGACAGGAGGGACAGGACTGTTTCTGCCAAAGCCATTTCTCAATGCACTGAAAGAAAGGAAAGCCAAATTATGGAGGGTCATTCAAAGCCAGAATGTGGCTGTATATAAAAACTGAAAACTACTGAAACATACATCTGCTCAAGCTAAACATATTGCAACATTTATTGCTTTTAAAGAACTGCAAGCTTAGTAAAACACACTATCAGTCTAAATTTAAGTTTACATGATGTTAAAAACCTTTTGATTTGCATATTTATGCTTAAATTCTTGAAAAAAAAATTGATTTGTCCACAAATATATTTATGAATATATTTACAAATAGATGACTTGCAGTGCAGCCTATGTGAGATAAATGCTAAAGAAAATAATGTTCAACTAAACTAAATGTTTCCATTCCACCCTAGAAGAAAAGTTATATATACATTTATATCACTAAGACCCATAGCAGAGGCATGATTGCACTTGCATGACAACTGCAGATCTGTTGACCTTGAGGGGCAGAACTGTGACCCATTATTGATTTCCATTACAGTGGCATGATTAGCCACCAGCTAATTTCCAGCATATGCATTTAACAAGCTACTGTAGCTTTATAAACGCAACTCATGATGTATGACCTGCAAATTCAGGATTTTACCATATTCATACAGCATCCATAATTCCAAATCAAAAACCAACCAAAACATCTTATATTCACAGTTTAAAATGAACAACAGGATCATGAATAATAGCAACAATCAATGCACATCAACTCTGAAAAACAAAATTTGATCGACAGTTTAGTAATACACAGACTATAAAAAAACATATTATGGTCTATATAATTCTCACCATATAGGTAAAGGACAAAAAGTACAAAATCATGACATTTCAAACAGCAATATTTATAAAATATAAATGACTTGGAATGGGAAAATAAATAAAAATGCTGGTTTCTACTGTTGTTCTTTGCTTTTCTGATTTCAAAAGAAATCAAAATTTTCCATTTTTAAGCAATAGTAGTGAAGCTAAACACAAACTAAAACTGACAATTAACACGTTTTTTGATAATATACTGAGTGATTACTGTTTAGTTTAACTACTTTTCATACAAACAGTACACTCTTTAAAAAATAAATGTAACTTTTTTTTTTTTTTGAATATTTTTTTAATCTGAAGAACCCTTTTCCACTATAAAGAACCTTTTGTGCAATGGAAAGGTTCCATAGATGGTAAAGGTTCTTTATATCTAAATAATAAATATAAAGAACCTTTATTTTTTAGAGTGTATTTTAAACAAAAAACAATCAACGTTGTCTACGCAAAGAGAGTTGGCGACGGGGTAAACGATATTCCTCCTGTCCAGGGCAGAACGGTATCTCCTTTCCTCGCTCACAAGCAGGTGCAGAACTCCCACTACGTGGACGTGCGCTGTGCTCTGGCCATTTTGCCTTCCCAATCCATAATCAGAAACAGCAGATTCAGTGTATAGCTGGCGCAAAAGCAGCAAGTAACCAGACAAACATGCATGCCAGTTGGGGAAAAGCACCGATTTTGAAAATACCCTTGTTCACTTGGTGTCATGTCTAAACTTCTATTTCCATTCACCCACTGCTTCAATTAACAATCTGATACTGTTAGAAGACAACAAGAGGAGAGAAATGATGCAGGAAGTGTTTACCTCTTTATGAAAATGATGGCCACAGTGAAGTTCTTGGATGCCACCTCTTCCATTCCATAGTTCTTCATGGCAAATGAGACATATGCTATCTGCATCACCCTACAAACAAACCAGACAAAATCATCCAAAAGTGTTATATTAGGGCATTGATGCACTTTATGCATCACTTTTTATCAGTTAAATGCAATTAAAAAAGTCTATTTCAAAACTAAATTGATTGATTGATTGATTGAACAGTAGAGTATACAGTACTTAGTACAATAAAGTAGGCCTACTAATTAATTTGGCCCATGTATCGCCACCTGTAGTTAAAACATGCAATTGCATGTCACTTGCAAATGCAAAAGCGTTAACCTCAATGCTTCGACACTGCTCTACTGCACGGTTTGAGGAATTCCAATGGTTACAAACGATCACCTTCAGAGGATTTGTCATGTTGCATCAAGACCCACTGACGGTAAGGAGTACCAACAAAACTTATAGCCTATATCAGAAAAAAAGCCATCTGAGCATTTAAGTGTGATATCTGCCATTATGGTTCGGATCTTGTTTTGACGCATGCTCAGTCCCCTTCCCTTTTTGATTGCAGACTCTCAGTTCCAGATTTATTTGTTTTGAAAAGCTGATTTCTTAAGAGGTCCCACGAGGATTGCCGTTTCATTGCTGTTCATGTTAAATAGCCTACTGTAAATAGCCAGACCTTTTTTGTTTATGGACATTAAGTAAACACTAAAGCAAAATATAGCTCATAATAACTGAAAATGAAAATGTTGTAGACATACAGCAGTGCATTGGGATGTGTTGAATGAATAAATAAATAAATGCTTTTCCATTTAAGGGGATATTAATGAGATGAACTAAGGGGGTATTTACACAACACTGTTTTCAACAAAAAAACAGAAACATTTAATGCATTTTAACCATTCATTTGCATGGCACTGGCGTTTTGGGGGCCTGAAAATGCTAATTTTGAAAACAAGTTTTTGAAAACAATAACGTTATCATCTCCGTGTAAATTAGCCACAAAATCACACATTTGTGAAAATGGTGTGAGCATGCACATTACATGTTCAGTTTGTGCACTGGTGCATAGTGTGTGGCCTGGTGTAATGGAGGCCAGCTAGTAAGAGCTGTTCAGGTAAACCTCACTCCCCTGATCTCAAAAGGCACCTACTGACACTAGGGGCCCTGGTCTTTAGCGTCCTTGTCAGCGTGCCTGCCTCCCATGTCGGAAACGCCTATTTGAATCCTGCTCAATCCGGGTTAAGTAGAACCAGAGGGGTTACATTGGTGCCGTGACCCGGATGGGAGTGAGGTTAAAGGGGGTGAATGTAATGGAGGCCAGCTAGTAACAGCTGTGGAGGTAAACTTAACTCCCCTGATCTCAAAAAGCTTACTAGCGACTTATGCTGGTTTGATATTTGAATTGAATGCAATGATATTGAGACATTTTTAAGTATTTTTTAAGACTTTTTTGGTCTGCTGTATGTGACATGACATCATCTGGTCCCTCACCTTCTGGTTATTGAAACGCAGCCTCTTCTCTAAGCACTCAGTGAGCTCTGGAATGGTGCTGATGTGACATTCAGGTCCCACCACTTTGGTTCGGCTGTTTTCGTCTGAAGACATACGGCGGGCACGAGGATGAGAGTGCACCTCCTTCTCCTCACGGCCCTTTAGGTGGACAGGGCCAGGGGCCATGGTGTTAGCATGGAAATGATTCGCCTGCATGGCTTCTAGCTGAGACTTTTCAATACAGAACCCAAGACAGAAAGAGAGGGAGAAAGACCATGACATAGAAAGAAGTAATAAGCTACATATAAGCTATATTCATTTACATTTACATTTAGACATTTAGCAGACACTTTTATCCAAAGCGACTTACAAATGAGGACAATGGAAGCAATCAAAATCAACAAAAGAGCAATGATATGCAAGTGTTATAACAAGTCTCAGTTAGCTTAATGCAGTACATGTAGGAAGGTTTTTTTTTTTAAATCATATAATAAATAAAATGAAAACAGATAGAATAGAAAAAGAATAGAGCAAGCTAGTGTTAGAGGCCTGTTTTGCTTTTGTTAATCAGAAGTCAAAAGTCAGAAAGTCTGTAGTAAATGTAGTAAATAAATAGAGTAAATAAATAAAAAGTCTAAAAGGGGCAAGTTTTTTTTTAAAATAAATAATAGAATTAGAATAGAGAGTGCTAGAGTTATAGGGTCAAATAAAGATGGAAGAGATGTGTTTTTAGCCAATTCTTGAAGATGATTCTTGATTCTTGAAGGATTGAGTTGGGCAGGTCATTCCACCAGGAGGGAACATTTAATTTAAAAGTCAGAGAAAGTGATTTTGTGCCTCTTTGGGATAGCACAATAAAGCGCCGTTCACTTGCTGAACGCAAGCTTCTAGAGGGCACATAAGTCTGAAGTAATGAATTTAGGTAAAGGGGTGCAGAGCCAGTGGTGGTTTTAGGCAAACATTAATGCCTTGAATTTTATGCGAGCAGCTATTGGTAGCCATTGCAAACTGATAAACAGAGGTGTGACGTAGATTCTTTTCGGCTTGTTAAAAATTAATCTTGCTGCCACGTTCTGGATTAATTGTAAAGGTTTGATAGAACTGGCTGGAAGACCTGCCAAGAGAGCATTGCAATAGTACTTGTATAACTTGTATAATCATTTTGCACTTAATTGCAGTAAATATTCATAATAGTCTGTAGGCTCTGCCATGGAAAGGGTCAAAATAGGTTAATTATACTTGAGCAGCCCATAATGACTTGTGTAAGCGTTTCACTTGAAGTCAAGCTAATCATAGGAGCGTCACCTATTAACCTTGAGCTATTTACTGTCATTCACTATTGCCTCTTGGGCTGGATTACGCTGTTTCCAAATAACTACATTACTTTCCCCAAGACATACTGAGCATGTATGCATTGCCAAAACTAGTTTCCTGACCTAATGCAACATAGTTCAAATATGCACTTATCTGCTGCTTGCAGAAAAATACACATTTGAAAAAAAAGGAAAAAGAAAAAAATCAAATGCATGTAAAATCATGCAAAGCCACCTTAGCTTGTAACTTTTGGAATAGCACTTTTTACACTGACTGCATTACAATCAGATCTTAGCATAATGAATAATTCGATTTAAGCAACAAAACAAATAGATACATATAAAGCAAGTGGTAAACTTATGCATAAGAATTTTGATTTTAATTTTCATCTTATTTTCAAGAGAGAGCTGCTTTCTAGTCAATATATAATCACTATAATTAATTTAATCTACTTTGCATACCAACTATGCAAAGAAGTCGATATATGCATAGTATATTAATTATATTTACTAAATACTGTTTTTTAACACACACACACACACACACACACACACACACACGTTGGGTTTACATGTTTTATGGGGACATTCCATAGAGGTTCCATAGAGGTTTAACCCCTAAACCTTACCCTCACACAAAACTTTCTGCTATTTTAGATTTTCAAAAAACTTCATTCTGAATGATTTATAAGTTTGTTTGTTGTCCCCATAAGGTAAAACATTACTGGTATTACTATCTTTGTGTGGGGATGTAGGCAGGGCCGCATTAAGACCTTACTGGGCCCCGGTGTCAGGGAAAGTCCAGCCTCGTCAGGCCCAATCATCTCACACACCCGTTAACAATCACCGGAGTACTAATCAGCCGCACCTGTCACCAGCTCATCAGCACCAGCTTAAATGCACAGTCACTGCAGTCACACTTCGTCTGGTCTTGAGTTCACTACGCTACTCCTTACCTGACTCACCGTACCCGGACTCCATCCTGTTACCTTCCTGTCTCTGTGCCATCCCCTTCAGCCCGATCCGCAAAGGAACCCGTCATCACGTGAGCCCGATCCCTTCCATTCCATAGACTGTTGCTCTAACCCGTTTGCTCTCCCTCTCTCTCTCTCTCTCTCCCAGCACCTGTTCAATAAAGCTCTCTGTTTACTTTACCTCTCCATCCCTGGTCTCCTTCTGTACTGTGACAGAAGACCAGACCTCAACTTACCCACGTTATGGAGCCACAACCACCGAACCCCCCATCACTGGAGGATTTGATCCACGCCATCCGTATGCCCGTTGTATCTGCCGCCCACAGTCCCATGGCACGGCCTGCTATCTTCTCCGGTGAGGCGGCGGATTGTGGTGGCTTCTTATTACAATGTTCCTTATACTTCTAGATGCAGTCACAAGCCTTTCCCAATGACCTTGGCTGCGCCAAGGTGGCCTTCATGATCTCTCATCTCGCTGGCCGCGCTCTTCACTGGGCCCAGTCCATGTGGGAAAGTAACAGTCAGGCCCTTCGCACTCTATCTACGTTCACCGCCCACTTCAAGGAGGTGTTTAGTCACACCGCGGCTGAGATATCCGTGCATGACCAGCTCTTCCGTATCCGTCAAGGCAAGGCCTCCGTGAGCGAGTATGCCATTAAATTCCGCACTCTGGCGGTGGCGAGTGGATGGAACGAAGTGGCCTTACTGACTGCGTTCCGGCAAGGGCTAAACGCAGACATTCGCCTTCAAATGGTGATATTTGACGACACCGTGGGATTAGAGAGTTTCATTCAAAAGGCTATCAAGATCTCCCAACATCTCCTGGCCTGTACCCCGATCCAGCCACCCGCCTCACCGAGCACATCCGCCTCACCGGCTCCAGCACCAGAACCCATGCAAGTGGATTCGTACCATCTCACCCATGCGGAGCGTTCGCGGAGGATAACCACCGGACTGTGTCTGTATTGTGGGGAGCAGGGACACTTGATTCGCTCGTGTCCTATCCGTCCCTCACGACCCTCGGTGAGTACTATCCAGCTCAGCCCTCAAATTGCTACCTTGACTAGAATGAATCAGAATCAGAATCAGAAAGAGCTTTATTGCCAGGTATGTTTGCACATACAAGGAATTTGTTATAGTGTCACAAGCTTCCAGTACACGGAGACAACAACAACACACAGATGGAGGGAACATTTAATTTAAAAGTCAGAGAAAGTGATTTTGTGCCTCTTTGGGATAGCACAATAAAGCGCCGTTCACTTGCTGAACGCAAGCTTCTAGAGGGCACATAAGTCTGAAGTAATGAATTTAGGTAAAGGGGTGCAGAGCCAGTGGTGGTTTTAGGCAAACATTAATGCCTTGAATTTTATGCGAGCAGCTATTGGTAGCCATTGCAAACTGATAAACAGAGGTGTGACGTAGATTCTTTTCGGCTTGTTAAAAATTAATCTTGCTGCCACGTTCTGGATTAATTGTAAAGGTTTGATAGAACTGGCTGGAAGACCTGCCAAGAGAGCATTGCAATAGTACTTGTATAACTTGTATAATCATTTTGCACTTAATTGCAGTAAATATTCATAATAGTCTGTAGGCTCTGCCATGGAAAGGGTCAAAATAGGTTAATTATACTTGAGCAGCCCATAATGACTTGTGTAAGCGTTTCACTTGAAGTCAAGCTAATCATAGGAGCGTCACCTATTAACCTTGAGCTATTTACTGTCATTCACTATTGCCTCTTGGGCTGGATTACGCTGTTTCCAAATAACTACATTACTTTCCCCAAGACATACTGAGCATGTATGCATTGCCAAAACTAGTTTCCTGACCTAATGCAACATAGTTCAAATATGCACTTATCTGCTGCTTGCAGAAAAATACACATTTGAAAAAAAAGGAAAAAGAAAAAAATCAAATGCATGTAAAATCATGCAAAGCCACCTTAGCTTGTAACTTTTGGAATAGCACTTTTTACACTGACTGCATTACAATCAGATCTTAGCATAATGAATAATTCGATTTAAGCAACAAAACAAATAGATACATATAAAGCAAGTGGTAAACTTATGCATAAGAATTTTGATTTTAATTTTCATCTTATTTTCAAGAGAGAGCTGCTTTCTAGTCAATATATAATCACTATAATTAATTTAATCTACTTTGCATACCAACTATGCAAAGAAGTCGATATATGCATAGTATATTAATTATATTTACTAAATACTGTTTTTTAACACACACACACACACACACACACACACACACACGTTGGGTTTACATGTTTTATGGGGACATTCCATAGAGGTTCCATAGAGGTTTAACCCCTAAACCTTACCCTCACACAAAACTTTCTGCTATTTTAGATTTTCAAAAAACTTCATTCTGAATGATTTATAAGTTTGTTTGTTGTCCCCATAAGGTAAAACATTACTGGTATTACTATCTTTGTGTGGGGATGTAGGCAGGGCCGCATTAAGACCTTACTGGGCCCCGGTGTCAGGGAAAGTCCAGCCTCGTCAGGCCCAATCATCTCACACACCCGTTAACAATCACCGGAGTACTAATCAGCCGCACCTGTCACCAGCTCATCAGCACCAGCTTAAATGCACAGTCACTGCAGTCACACTTCGTCTGGTCTTGAGTTCACTACGCTACTCCTTACCTGACTCACCGTACCCGGACTCCATCCTGTTACCTTCCTGTCTCTGTGCCATCCCCTTCAGCCCGATCCGCAAAGGAACCCGTCATCACGTGAGCCCGATCCCTTCCATTCCATAGACTGTTGCTCTAACCCGTTTGCTCTCCCTCTCTCTCTCTCTCTCTCCCAGCACCTGTTCAATAAAGCTCTCTGTTTACTTTACCTCTCCATCCCTGGTCTCCTTCTGTACTGTGACAGAAGACCAGACCTCAACTTACCCACGTTATGGAGCCACAACCACCGAACCCC